GTGGAGAGACTATATGTGCGGACACCGACCAACTGCCGGCGCTCTGACCAAATATAGTGATCTGATCTTTGTCTCCACCAAATAAATGTATGTTATCTCTAACCTATAATTAATTATAGCATTAATTTATACTTTTTCTTTGTAAATAGCCTTGATTATAACTTTTTACATACCCATTTCAGTGCTAATAACTGGTCATAAAAACCGACATTTCCGGGGGCGTCCTCCCGATCCCCATACAAGAAGCCAAACGGACCTAATCTATAGTTTGTGGCCACGAGTACGACATCATTAGTGGCCAAAACACTGCCGTTATAGTCGGACATAAATATTGAGCCCCCGATCAGACCCCCTCCGTGTATCCAAAACATGACTGGTTTTAGTGGTAAGCCTTTCACTGATCTATTATTTCTCGTATTTTGTGTCCATATGTTTAGTACCAAACAGTCCTCACTTTGGATGAGATTGAGCTCAGAGTTTATGGCAGTATTGAACTCATCCAGTGTAGGACTTGGGGATTGCAAACAAGAGTTCCCGGGTGCTGTTGCATCTATTATTTCCTGAACATAATATTTTTATTATTATTTTATATAATTTATTACAAAATGACTAAAATCTTACTTTAGATGGCTTTTTAATAAGCTGTGGTTTTGCAAACCTAAGCGCACCGACCGGTGGTTCGGCATAAGGTATACCCAAAAACTGGTCAACACTTGTGTTCAACATATCTATAGTGAGACCTCTCACTACACCCGATGTCGTGTTCACATCAATACTATTTGCAAATTCAACACAAAATATTATACCAACAACATAAGTGAATAAATTTAATTTAAACATTATTTTGCTGTAATTATATTTATTTAGAATACTTATAAAAACAATTTAAATTTAATAACTTAAGTATAAAACACAACTTAATAGCACTTATAATATATACAATCTGACATTTTATAATAAATTTTCATTTATTATATCTTTGATATTAATTGCTAGATAATTTCATATACATTATTGTAGAGATTTAAAAGTAACTATGACCTTTATGTATTATCGAATTATTTATCAAAATTATTTGTCACTTAATTAAGGTTGTCTACCATCTCATGCACCTACATTTATTAGCAATAAATGATTACATTGATTTTAGAAACCTTTGATTTTATTATTGATACTTACCTGTTCACATTTCACTCTCATATTCTTTAAATATGATTTGTGTATTGATAATATAAAAAGTGCATTAGGTTCTCAATTATGAAATTATATTTTCACATTATTCATCATTTTAATTTATATTTCAAGTCCTTGTTAAATGCAATTTTTGTTTTTTTTTCTTGTAATTTATTTTGTTAAATTTAATTTTTATTTTATTTATGTTTATTAAATTTTATATTTAATTAAATAAATCATTGAGTAAATAATTGGAATAAATCAATTTATTAATATATAATACTAAATGTCATGCTTGCTGTTTTAAATAAAAACAATAAAAATAAAATATATAATTGTAATTTAAAACTATAATATAGAATCTACAGTATATCATTATAAGTTTATATAGTATGGTTTAACTTATAAACCTACAACATATTAATTGTAAATTACAAATAATAGTCTTTCCAAAAGCCATCACAAGTGGTGTGAAAGGGATTATCCAATACTCGACTCATATTCCGTGGATTCAAATCACGGACTTTTATCTCATTATTATCAAATAGTTTAGGCCATATTTCATCCGGGTTACTGAATTAACAAAACAAATATATTGTAAAAATATCTAATACAATAAAAAAAACAATTAGTTTATACCCTGTTTTAGCAAAATTAGTCCACATTTTCATGAGTTCTTGACTGAAAAATATTTCCTCGCGTGTGAAGTGCTCCGGGATTATGAAAGGTATGCCAAATACAAACGGCACGTCCGCGCTATGACATACCATACCGGGCCGACAGCCGGTGACATTAGCCACAAATTCACTCTCAAATGTCAACTCATATAAGTAGACATTCT